CTAAGGGCCACCTTAGCAAAGCGCATCCCAGGCTGCATAGCCGCACTACCCTACCCAACCATACCACACATAAACATGACACTACCCCCGGGGTTTACACAGACGAGCCGGCGAAGCAAGAAGAGCGCCAGAAGAAAGGGCCCTAGCCGGCGGGGCCCAGCCAGGACAAAAGGAGGTCCCACAAAGCGCCTACACCGGCCGCATTTGCGGTCGGGGTAGACGACGGATGGGGCCCACCTACGAAGGCTGTCCAGGCCTACACGAGATGAGGCAGGATAAAGAGGGATAATCCCCCTCGATCCCAAATCATTGAGGCCAATTTCTAGCCATGGAATAATGGCGTGGCCTCGATCCCAAATCATTGAGGCCAATTTCTAGCCATGGAATAATGGCTCGAGTCGTGCTCATGGTGTTCAGTGGGCAGTGGGTAGTTAATTGTTGGTCTGTGGTTGTTATTGTTAACCTAACTTTAATAAAGAAAAGTTGGGCAAATAAGTATTTAATTTTAATATTCATAATGAAAATTGCTATAGAAGGATGTGCTCATGGTGAACTAGAGAATATCTATGAAACAATTCAGCTTTTGGAAGAAAAAGAATCTATTAAAATTGATTTACTTATATGTTGTGGAGATTTTCAATCATCAAGGAATGAAGGAGATTTGTTGTGTATGGCAGTTCCGCCAAAATATGCCAAGATATGTTCATTTTACAAGTGAGTTTATTTTTTTTTTCAAACGTATATTAGTCAGAAGTAATAGTAATAATAAACTATATAAAAGTACAACACGCCCTTATGTTTTTCAGATTAGATCGTATTACTATTAAATAGTTACAGACGTTTAATTGAAATTTAACACTTTTTTTTAGGTACTATACAGGTGAAAAGAAAGCTCCAATATTAACGATATTTATTGGAGGAAATCATGAATCATCAAACTATTTACAAGAACTACCTTATGGAGGTTGGGTAGCACCAAATATCTATTATATGGGATGTGCTGGTGTTGTAAACGTTGGAGGTATGTAAAACTATTAATACTTTTTTCTTGTCATTCTTCACTTTTTTTTTATAATGTGAGGACATATTTTACAGTTATAAATTCGTAGCATGTAAAGAAGCAGATATTATTTTTTGTTAGGTGTCAGAATAGGTGGATTATCAGGAATTTACAAAAGCAGAGATTATACGAAAGGCCATTTTGAAAAAGCCCCCTATGATGAAAATACAAAAAGAAGTGTGTACCATATCAGAAATTTAGAAATTTTTCGACTTAAACAACTATCAGGCCCTCTTGATATATTTCTTTCTCATGATTGGCCAAATGGAATTTATAAGTTTGGCAATATAAGTCAGTTGCTAAAAAGGAAACCTTTCTTCAAGTAATACTGATATTTGTGTTTATTAGATAAATTCCATTTTATAAAATTTCGAATTCATAACTTCAATCTATTTTAGAGATGATGTAGAAAGCGGCCAGTTGGGAAATAAACCAATAGAAGAATTATTATATCAATTGAAACCAAGTTATTGGTTTTCTGCTCATTTGCATTGCAAATTTGCGGCTTTAGTAACGCACGATGATACGAGTATAACAAAATTTTTAGCGTTGGATAAATGCCTGCCTAAGAGGAAATTCCTTCAAATTGTAGATGTACCCCACGACACGGAATCAAAAATTGAAGTTAATTATGATTTGGAATGGCTTACCATTCTATTTTTAACTAATCATTTATTGTGCGTGAAAAATATTAATACATATATGCCCGGACCCGGAGGAAACGAGAGGTAAATAAAACTTGATATCCTCGAGATCGTCAAAAGACGCAGTAAATTATAATTAAATTAAATTTATATCTGAACTAATTATATATGTTTGCCAGATACAACTTCACCCCCTCAGAAGAAAACAAACAACAAGTCCTGGCAAGATTTAATAACGAACTGCGAGTTCCCAATAACTTCGAAAAATCAGCTCCGGCATATGACGTTAATAGTCCCAAGAAGAGTACCGAAGTCAAGCAGCCCAAAGCCACATTAAATCCACAAACAGTGTTGTTATGTGAAACGCTCGCTATAGACGACCCGATATGTCTCGTTTCCGAAATAGATGGAACTAATTTAAACCTTAGCGTTGATCGGAGTGTAACTAGTTCTTTTATTGACGATACACTAGACAGCAGTAATCCAAAATTAATGTGTAGTTCCACTCCAGTGAAGAGATTTAGTAGTTTAAGTTTACCGGAGCCCAAATTAGATACTAGCGATTTTGAAAGTGACGCTAAAGATAATACAGAAGAAGAATTGGAAACGTGCAGTCAATCATCTGGAGACAATGCACCAGTCGCATCAAGTACAAAGAAGGACGTCGCTTCGAACGAGTCACCACTCCCAAAAAAATTTAAACGTAGAAATGCGGAATTGTATAATGTTACAATAAAAGAATAATATTAGAAGGCAGGACTTATTTGTTTCTGATCGGACGGTACAGACCCATCATAAATGATTACAAGCCACGTGACCAGTAATTTTGTTTAATTCAAATTGGCAATTAAATTTCGGTAAAATTAAAAATTATTAAAACGATAAGATCAAGATGACATTAAATCGCAACATTTTGTTTTATTGACTGTTGATTGGTGTAATTTTTCATGAGTTTTCAAGCGTAGATGTAACTGTTTGTCACTGTTCATTGTAAACGAATCATTAATATTAGTGATTGTAAAACTTATGGATTTTCAATTGGCATTATCAATGGTTGGTTGCCTAAACACGGTGTCACTTGGTTGTAAACATTTATGAAGCAACATGGGGCATGAATTGTTTAATTTTGTTATACGAGTATATGTACATGTTTTAAATTTTTATTGTATGTTCTTTTGAAGATTATTGTTTAACTTTACCCAACCTTTATACATATACTGTTAGAAGCGGTATCTCCCCATCAGTAAATTAAAGTTAAAAGTATCTTATACAGGGTGTCACCTAATAGGCTACTGAATACAGGATTTTAAAAGGAAAAATTTTGTAGAGAATTTAATTTCTCATAGAAATGGCTTACTTAAAATATGTAAAGGGAAAATTTTATGCAAAAAATCGGTAATAAACAATTTTAAAGAAAACAAAAAATAAGATTTTTTTTACTTTTTTAATAAAATAATTTAGTAAAAACTTGAAAATTTAAGTACAATAAAGTTTAAAATGAAAATTTCAATTCTGACATTTACTCTATGTGTATAGCTACTTCCCGCCACCTCAAAAATGAATTATTTTAATTTTAAAATTTATATTAGGACATTATTTGAGGTTATAAACAGATTTGTTTTGTAAAAATGTGTAAAATAATAAATAATGGTACTTCTCTCATGAGTATTTTATGAGTATTTTTTTTTTATTTATGAGCACCTTGTATATCTAATCTAAGATGTTTGTATAACAGTTTCATTTTATCGAGAGGCAGAACTTTTTATAAATTTTTCGATAGTCAATAACAAGAGATTCTCTTCTTGTCAACTCCATCCATGGACACACTGTATATACATTATTAATACATTTTATTGTACTTATAAATTCTCAAGTTTTTACTAAATTATTTTATTAAAAAAGTAAAAAAAATCAGCCTTATTTTTTGCTTTCTTTAAAACTGTTTACTAACGATTTTTTGCATAAAATTTTGCTTCGTTTTCGTGCTATATTTAAAAAACTGAAAGGGCTGCATTTTCACCCCTATCTTCGATTTCAACCCTCCAATTTAATAGCACCCCGCGGTTTTTTCATTTTTAATGACACTCGAACAAGTCATGTGATGAAAATCCTTGAACGTCTTATTTCCTTCCTTTTTTGCAAAAAATGAGAATTAAGGGTAAACGCGACTAAAATCGAGAAATTGGCTAAGTTTGAGCGGCCATATGTCAATTTTCATCCAAAAATATTTTACCTCTTGTTTTGAAGGAAATTTTATCTACTTTTCTTTCTATGAATGCTTCTATGCTTTACTCAAAAAAAACTAGAGGTAAAAAAGTAAAAAAAATCAGAAAATCGATTTTTTTCAAATTGTTTATTAACGATTTTTTTGCCTAATATTTTCCTTTTAAATTTTTTAAATAAGCTATTTCCATGGGAAATTCAATTCTGTAAATAATATTTCCTATGAATTATAGTGTAATTTTGCTTCGATTTCGAGCTACAATTAAAAAACTGAAAGGGGAGCATTTTCACCCCTATCTCCAATTTCCACCCTCTAATTTAATAGCACTCCATGGTTTTTTCATCTAAAATGACCCTTTGAACGATTCATGCAATAAAATTGCTTGAACGTCCTTTTAACCCTGTTTTTTTGAATATAATCAATAGCCTATAACGAATGTTACATACTTCAAGGCTATAATCGAGACCCAAATGGTGTCGATTTAACTAAACAGTTTTTTTTATTTTTCGTTTTACCTTAACCAATAGCCCAGTTAACCAATTTGAGCAAAATTTGCTGTTGCTTAGTTTTTCTTCATGCAGGGATTGTTTCTATTAGGTTAAATCATACAGGACGTTCATTTTACTACAACCCTTTGTGAATATTCTATAACTTTTTTGTATGTTTAAATTTTTACATGCAACTACCAGGAATAGGTAGATTTTATTTTACACAAAACCCATCAAAAGTCGAAATTATGCTCGGTTATGAAGATATTACAGAAAATATTTATTAACACATCATTTCGATTATGGCACCGGGGTCTGGTCTATAACTTTGGTCAAAATTAACGAAAAAATCTGAAATCTGGTATGTGGATTTAGTGAACGATGATCTACCGACTGCCTATATCAGTCAAACTCAAACATGCAGATATATCTTTTTATAATCTCATCGTATTCTACACCTCGAATTACCTTTTGGCCCAAATTTCAGAATTTGCAATACTTTTTTAGATTTGGATTATTTTCATTCATTTTATTTCCAACATAATGGCTGTCCAGCGCATTCTTCAACTAATGTTCTACAGTGCCAGTGGTTAAATGACAAGTTTCCTAACAAGTGGATCAGACATGGATCAGACGACATGGTTCGATTCAGTGGTCACTGCACAGCCCAGATTTAACAATTTTAGATTTTTATTTATGCGTTAGATTAAAACAAATTGTCTACAGCAATGTCTTTAGACAATAACATTGATATATTAGAAGAGTTCATTAGGGAAGCTGTTCAATCAATAACTGTATAGGAGATTAAAAGTTTCCAAGAACTTATTTATCGAATTGAAAAGTAATAATAATAATAATAATAGTAATAATATTTATTCCTCATTCTAATCGCAAGGATTAGCTCAGAATTTGGAAATTCGCGCGGGAGAGGGANTAAACTGAGGTAACTAGTATATAACCAAAATACAAAATACAAATATGCACATAAATTCACTAAATAACAATTAATTGACAAAAAACTCGTTTACACTATAAAAACATTGATTTACTAAATATTCCTTTAATCTACTTTTAAAAGATTTAATTGTTAAAACATTTTTAATATGTTCCGGAAGACGATTATAAACCTTCAAACCATAAACTGAAGGGGACTTATACGCAGCCAATACCCTACAACGAGGTAAATAGAATTTGTCCTTATTTCTTGTGTTTATGTTATGTATATGATCATGCCTTAAAAAGCTGTCCCTATTATTAAAAATGTATACACTCACTTCAAATAAAAACAAAGATGGAAAAGTCAAAATTTTAAGTTGTTTAAATAGATTCTTACAACTAACAGTGTTTGATATACCTTTTATTCCTCGTAATATGCGCTTTTGCGCAATAAAAACATTGTGGGTGTTACTGGACAGACCCCAGAAGATTAAGCCATATCTTAGGCAGCTCTCAACATGAGCATAGTATAGCATAACTAGCTGTGTCTTCGCCAAAACCACTCGGAGATTTCTAATCATATAATTAAGTGAATTTAATCTTGAAACAACCCAGTCGCAATGTGATTTCCAAGAAACATGTTCATCTATACGTAAACCCAAGAAATTGATAACACCTTTAGGTAGAGATAAAGCATGATTATTTATATGTATATTCAAATTAGAACAACTTTTTTGTGGACTGTGGAATCTCAAATAAAAAGTTTTTTCAATATTAAGAAACAATGAGTTTTGATTAAACCAAGCTGTCAACTTCTTGAGTACTTCGTTACATGTATTTTCGAGTATGGCGTCGGATTTGTGAGATACAATTAAAGATGTATCATCGGCATATAATGTAAAATGTACTTCGGGTGAAATTTGCTCCACAGCATTTATATAAACTAAAAAAAGAATAGGACCCAAAATAGATCCTTGGGGTACACCCATATTTACTTGAGCAATGGCAGAATTTGAAATAATTTTTTCATTCCCAATGATGCTTGAAATCGTTGTAAAAACTCTCCTATTTGTCAAAAATGTTTCTACCCATTTGAGAGCCTTTCCCTGAATTCCACATCTTTGCAATTTGTATAAAAGTTTTTTATGATTGACACAGTCGAACGCCCTGCTGAGATCACAAAATATCCCAACAGGGCACTCACCTGCATCAATCATGTTAGTTATTGTAGAATAAAATGAATTAGTGGCAGAGGTTGTTGACTTTCCCTGTATAAAACCATGCTGAGCATTAGAAATGACCTTATAATTGTCCAAAAACAAGGTTAATCTATTTAAAAAACCATATTCAAAAATTTTTGAAAATACACTAGGTATGGTTACTGGTCTATAATTTTGAATCATCGTAGGATCTTTTTTTTTATGTAAGGGTATCACTTTACCAGTTTTTAGGTAAGTTGGGAAAGTGCCATTACAAAAAGATAAATTTAATAGATATGTAAACTGAGGTATGATATATGGTAATATTTGTTTAATGAGAAATACTGGAACATCGTCAAATCCACTAGAATGCTTATTTTTCAATTTAACATTTAACAGTTCATATAGTTCATCTTCTCCATATGGATAAAGATGAAACTCTCTATAATCATTAAAACTTGCATCTTTTATAAAATTATGTTCACAATTATTTTTTTCCGAAATCTGACCAACTACATCCTCTGCCGCTTGAATAAAGAAACTGTTAAATAAGTTTGCTATTCTACTCGGCTCACTAACCACTTCATTGCCCTGCATTATCTCAATATTACCCAAATCGCTTTTACTACTATTTGTAAGTCGTGACACAATATTCCAAGAACATTTCATAGTATTATTAGACGTAGAAATCATATTTTGAAAATATGATTTTTTTTTATCTGATATTAATTTGTTATGCTTATTTTTAGCTATCTTATATGCCGGTTTGAACTCCGGAAAAGTAACAAGTAGCGCATGCAATTCCTTTAATTTTTTGCTTGATTGTTGATCGTCCGCGTCAATCCACTTTTTATCTTTAATGTAAGATTTATGATATCGTCTCATTAATGGAAAATGTACATCAAAATGGAATTTAAAATTATTGTAAAAAAAAGAATAAGCCATATCAGTGTCATATAAATGCTGTAGAGTTCACTCCGGTCTTGACACCTCAAACTATTTATAAAGTTCATTATTGCGACGTCGTCAAATACTCTTTTGTGGTAAGAAAAATGTTTTCCCGTTTTTCGTACTTCTAGATCCAACTCACACAATATTGATCTATGATCCGATACTATATTATCAGACACAAATAGTTCCGCCATTAGGAAAATTTGTCAATACATAATCAATTGTGGATACATTTGAATTTGTTACACGAGTTGGCCATTTGACTAAACTGAACAAATTATAAGCTAGAAATAAATTATTAAGTTTACAAAATTCATTGTTTTCCTCTCTACTACAATTAATATTAAAATCACCACATATGATGATTTTTATATTCGGCTTATAAATATAATTTAAAACATCTTCAAACCTATTTAAAAATATATCCAAAATACCGGACGGGGATCGATAACAACACATTATTATACATTTTGTTAAATTATTTAGATCTACAGACACACCACATATTTCAAAGACCTTATCTATACAAAATTTATCCAAATCTATGCGTGAACCAAGATGGAGGTGTGTTTGAATA